AGTAATCTACTTTCATATTTCAAATAGTTGTACTTATCTTTCTAAATGATTGTGTGTGTTTGACAGGACCTACTTGAGTAAAGAGCATTAGGTGAGCAAAAGCTACATTTCCTGTCATTCAGACATTACTGCTGCTGTCTCTATCCTCCTAAAGCACAAACCAGCTGTCAGCTTTCTCAGATTTAATCTACCAGCTAACATCATGCACTTCCTTGCTTCTCGACCAATGGGAGGGAACCTGATTGCTTCACCACCAATAGGAAGCTGTTACCATGATAGAAGTGTCTTGTGAATGTAACTCTGCTGAAAGCAGTGAAGAAGTGTTTAAAATGCTGTTTGTGGAAGTTTCAATTCTTGCTTTTGACACTGGGGTCTTCTGGGCGTGATTTTAAGGATCAAACCTTTTGTTTGATGAGACTGTCAGTGGGGTACTTGTAAAATACTTGCTTTCTTTTTATGTACAGATGCCCTTATGTAAAAACTAGAGGTATTGTTTATCCTCATTGTGATATCAGATTTCGAAATGGTTTATTTCAGCAGAAATTTCATTCAGCACCAGGAAACAATGAATCATATCACACGTATGTGATGCAAGCGTCCCATGTTTAAATACTGTGCTACTGAAGCCTGACTGTGTTTATCAATAGAATGTGATCATAACTGCTGTCAATGTCCACTTTGCTGTAAGTAATCAGGTGCATTAATGAATATAGCAATAAAATGCTGAGAAACAGGCAATAGATTTGGGTGCATAAAAAGGGAATATATTTATAATTGAAGATTTATGAATATTATTCACCTTAAACTGTGTAGCTATGTTATAGGCTGTGAGTTTGATAAAAGAAGAATTTGTTATTTGGATAAATAACTGTATAACGTGGAGATAATTTTCACATATTACACAACCGATATTTAAGCTAGTCACACTTAAATGTTCTGCAGCGGTTAGGAAAAATTTTGTAATAATAAATATTTTTATGAGCTAAGAAATGATGCAAATGCATGTAAAATAGAAAAGTTGTAGTTTGTGTACAATGCACATTTTCCCCAAATCAAATTTCTTAGCTTTCAACATTTGTGCTGTTTCTTGGTTCTTGCTTTGACAGCAGGGAAGTTATCAAGCAGAAAAAGGTGTGATTGTTTTTTTTTACCATTGCGCACAGAAACGCCTAAAACCTGACTAAGTGTTTGTGTGACAAACCATTAGTCGCAATAATTTTGCATGTGTTAACTATTTTCATGTGTGTGCAGCAAAATTCAGTGAGGTGAGAACAGTTCCAGTGGTCTAAAGTCTCTGACCATGTGACTTAATTTTGACTATTCAAATGCAATAGAGCAATTTATCACCTTTCCGTTGGTACTTCCTGTTTGCATAGATGTTTGATGTCTGATGCAGTGAGTTTTCTGTTAAGTGTGTATTTAAATATCAGTTCTACAGTTTGGAGGCATTTTCCAAATTTCTCGTAATCGTTTATTTACACATACCTAAACAAAAGTCTCTTGTTTTCTTAAAGGAAGACAATCTCCATTGCAAAGACTCAGATTATGAGTTCCAGTGTTTAATAGGTGTAAAAATCCTAGTGTATATTTTGATTCAAGTGCCTAGCATGGAGGCATAGCTTGTGCCTTCCAATGAAATGTAGATCTCATCTTCAATAATTCTAAAACAACAGAACAATTTCATTTCAGAAAGAATTACCACAGTTCATAACATGAGCTTTGACAAATTTATTATTCTATCAGTTGACAAATTATATGTGTGAACTTCTTATACAACAAAATAAGAGCAATTATGCCCCTAAATTACTTAATACTTGTTACTAAATTTAATTGCTCTCGATGCTTGGGGTAGTAATAATAATAATAGATGCAGTGCAAATTAAATCTAAATCTAAATGATTTCCATTGTGACAGTGATTTTATTTATGAGATGTTACACTTTTCTTGCTGTGCAAAATCAATGTATATATTAGTTGTGAAGCTCTGTACATATACAGCAATTCTGACTTTGTATCTTTTATTTTTGCTCTGTATATTTGGAACAGAACTGCTTGTTTGAGAAATAAATTGATTTGTCCCATTGATTTTGTATTTTTTATTTGTGATTTTTAGTTTTCACTTTGAACATAAAAGTAAAAAAGCAAATGTGACAGAAAAACAAAAAAATGTAAAGGGAAAATGTTAAAATTTAATGGGCAGGCCAGGAACTGCACAATGTGCCATATACGTTTTGTTACAAACTATACCAATGAAATCATATTCATAAAAGAACAGGCCTAGATTTGAGCGACAAGTGTTTTGATAAACACAGATGACTTGCCAGCCACTCAAATTCTATACAGGAACTTGCCTTCACTGTCAAAAAACTCTTTTCCCTTCTGTTCCACTGGACTGGGCTTTTCCTTCAGTGTTTGTGCGAGGTGCTCCAGTTCTTCCTCCTTCAGAATCACTCCATCCCATTCCTCCTCTAACTCTATATCACCCCTCGTGTCCATTTCAGCTTTACAGTCAGGCTGCTCCTGTAAAGCAGGTGTCACTTTCTGTTCAGCCGATAGCTGTGATGGTACTATGTTACCACTAGAGGACATGAGTCCAGTCTCAGCCTCCCTCACTGCAAGCGCTCCTGTACTCAGTGCTGTCAGTGCACCTGTGTTTCCAGAGAGGAGTATGGCTGGTGCTGCAGTCTTTGGCAGTCTGGTCTGTTCAGTTTTTCCATCTCTGAGAGACTGCGGCCCAGTACTAGCTAACACTTTCGAGTCCTGCTTCAGCTTTCGGACTGCCGATGAGGTGTATTTGCTGCGGAGGACTCTGAAAATGACATCAGGGCTTACAGAGAAACCCTCTGCTAATCTCTGCAGTGTCCATTCCTCTGGGGACTCCTGCTTTAAGTACCTGTGAAAAGACACATATGATTGCTCAGTGTATGGAAGGGCCGCAGATAACTACAATATTTTTGTCTAGACATGAGATATGCTATTAAATACAGCTAAATATATTATTTTATTATGTTATCATATACAGAAATGTACCGGATTGGAAATTATCTTACTTAAAGATTCACGATTGGCTAAGAAAAATTATATCAGGATTATATCACATTTTATTTTTATATAAAAAATACAATCAAATCATTCAAAAGTTTGGGGTCAGTATGATTTTTTTTCCGTTTAAAAAGAAATCAATTAACAGAAATTTTATTCAGCAAGGATGCATTAAATTGATAAAAAATGACAGTAAAGATATTTATATTATTATAAAAACAGTGGCCACAGCAAAAGATGAACACTGCAAAATTATTACATTATTTACATATTATTAATCTGCAATCCAAATGACTTTTTCTAGGAATTAATTATCTAACATATTTAAATACAAAGAGTTTGTGCTTAAGAAATATTAAAATTGCTAAAGTCCTCCAAGGTGATTTTTAATATAGTCACATGCATGTGATGCAGTCAAATGCTGGTTATAATGTAGAGTTATACAAAAATTCTTGACTGCTGTGTGATTGACCAATCAGAATCAAGTATTCCAGAGAGCTTTGTAATACATAGACATGTTCACACTGATACCTTATCTGCTGAATAGCATCCCAGCTGAGTCTTCTCTCTGGAGCTTCAGGATTGTTCATTTTCCTCTTGATGATGTGAAACTTTGCTGCTTTACGCCTTTTCCTCTCTTCACTGCACAGGAAATAATGTTAATGGATGAAGACAGCAGTATTTGCTTTTGTGCTTCTGTACAAGGACTCACCTAATAATAGAGTTCAGTTTGGCTTCTACGGCATCCATATCATGGTCATCTTCAAACATGTCTTCCTGTTGTTTCTGTCTTGGATGTGAATCCGAATACCTCTGTGACATCCACCCGTACGCGTGTCGACTGGCATGGCGACAAACCTGGCAAGCAGCAGGTCCTGGGAATGAGGCCAGTTTGGTGGCCAACATGTGGGCCATTCTCCACGGTGTGCCCATTCTGTACAGTCAGAGACACAAAGACAGTGACATCTGAAATTGCAAGTGAATCCAATATTAAAAAAGGAGTATTTATCAAATAATATCTAGAATTCTATAATAAGAGTCAGAAGAAAAGTCTGAAGAAAAGAGTACACCGAAAGTACAAGATTTTCTTTCCCGCAATTTTGAGATTTTAGACTATTTTGCTTCCATAACTTAATCTTTCAGACTAGTGGAAGGGAACATCCAAAATTCACATGAAGCGTTTATTTTATTATACTTCATCTATTTGCTTCTGTAAATTTCAATTACAATACTTATACAATACATTCTCTAAATACTTTTTTCTCATGCACTGATATTTTTTACTGGTTGTTGACAGTTTCTGATTTATAGAGTGATTAAAAGAAATGTCCAGAATCCCCTCTATAAGAACCTTTAGCAAAATAAAAAGAATTTTGAACCTAGTTTTATCCAATGATCAGATTTCTCTTCTGGAAATGTATCATGCATCATGTGCATATTAAAAATAGCATTTCAGAAAACTTGCAATACAAAACAATTGTTTTAATGTATTGTGATTAATCAACTGGGAAAGTAAGGTAATATCCATCATTTACATTTTTTTAACCCTATTCATCTATGGTGTTTTGCCTTACATATGTAAAGTTTCTGAATAAAAAACACGTTATTTCATTAAATTAAATGATTTCACTACGTTATCTCTACGTTATTCTATCTCACTTATCAAATGTAAGCCAATTTGTTAAACAGAGTATTTGAATTTCATTAAATCTACGTTATTTCTACATCACTTATCAAATGTAAGCTCATTTATAAAATCGAGCGTTTTAATTTCCATATACAAAAGGTCAAATTGACCTTACTCTTTTTCGTAACACGAACTTTGATCTTATATAACCATATAATGTCAAATACTATGTGAACATACTTTATAAACAACGCCTGTAAAACACTCACATTTCCCTCTCGCTCCTCTTTCACGATGACATTACACACCGGAAGCATATGGTTTAGCCACGCATGCGCACCAGTCACTCGATTCTTTCCGACTCGGATCGTTCCTACTCGGCAAAACTCGGCTCCGTTCGCCGATCACATGCGTCAAGCCTGCCCCCTTTCTTCTCTGTGTGGCTCATTTTTCGCCATTTTGGCAGCACCACTGTGTTGATTGGGTTTTTGAGATCTGTAGTGGAGCCAATCAGAAGGGTATCGGACAAACGGAGAAACGGTAAAGGGTTGCGCTTGCTCCAAGGGAAATGGTAGCTGACAACACGGATTGGTTTGTCAGTGACCAACCAAATGACTAATTCTGAAAAATACAGAAATCAAATCGGTTAATGCAAGAGGGAGAGAGCGCGAGAGCAGACACTGGACATGAATGATACTGTTAGTGCAGTCCAAAACAAAGACAGACCTGCTACTGTTTGGGAAATGTGCGGCTGTTTTTTTTGTGCTATTTAAAAAACAGGTTGAATTTTAGCCCATTTTAGTTACCTTGGTTTGCTCATGATGAGTAACGTTAAATGTTGTTTGCCAAACAGACCGCCTTGAAAGGGTTTGTGAAACGCTTCAAATCTGTAAATTCTTTAGACCTGCTTGTTAACTTTTCAGGCCTTTACTGTGTATCTGTAGCTAAAAAAATAAAATCAAACATAGCCTCAGTAGGTAATGTAATATGCTGTTCGTAATATTAAGCACATTCAACAAGGAAACATTCAGTCTCAAAATACACCTGGCTTCTGGCCCAAACCTGCAGCTAGAGACATCAGACTTCATTTGTTTTCATAGAAATCTACTAGTTTTGGTCATACTGAATAATAAGCAGGACATTCCTTGGACTTTAATTCATTTTTTAATGACAATTTAGGTGACGAAGGAAATATGGAGCAATATACAACTACAACAAGTGGGGATCAGATAGTGGTGCAAGCTGCCAATGGGCAAATCCAGCAGCAGGTAAGAGCCCATATAAACAGGTTGCTGTTTAATCAGATACCTTTAATATGAAAAAAAAACCATGAGTGTGGTTTTTATTTGTTTTTCCGTGCATTTTTAAACTTATCTAAATTGTAAATTGTTCTGTATGTAGATATATATCAGGTGCACTAGTATTTTTAAAATAGCAGGAGAGTAATCCGCTTCAGGAAGTGGTTTCCAATTCAAGGAAAGGACTGGGTAAATAGTTCTTGTAGTCGCCTACAGTCTCTCTCCTTTGAAATGAACTTTCTCAGTCCTGATAAAAACAAGGTTTATGTGACACAAGCACACCCAGTGCATTTTGCATCATGCAAATGTGCGTCAGAAAGAAAATATTACTTTTTCTTTGAGGTCTATATTATTTTATTTATTTATTTTTTGTCAAAGGAGCTGCTGAATTATTATTGTAGAACTGTTTGTCAAACAGATTTGCTTCAGGACCCAGATTTCAAACTGGACATCAAGTGAAGACTAAACTTTTTTTAAGTCAACAAAAGAAGCAAAATTGTCCCCATAAGTCAACATGAAATTATTGATGCTGCTTACTTTCTTAAAGCATGTTACTGGTCTTACTTTGAACAATTTATTAGTACATGTTATTATTCTATTGAAAACTAATTCTGAATCAAAATTTTAGAACTCTTTTTTTTTTTTCACTAACTTTATTTTTTCACTGAGAAGGTACACCAAAGTGACATAAATTTGCCAAAATGTATAGTTGGAATGGACCTACACTTTTTTGGGGGGGGTTTAGAATCTAGAATATCAGTCTGAAATGGACAGCGTGAATTAGAGGATTAGATTAGGAAGTATAAAATAAGGCAAACATATATTAGTAATGCATTTCTGTAAGAGATGATGCAGAGCAAGGTGTGATGTGGGTTGTCCACAGGCTCAGGGCACCGTAACAGCAGTACAGCTGCAAACAGAAGCACCTGTCGCTACGGCTTCAGGCCAGCAAGTGCAGACGCTCCAGGTAGTTGTGTGAACTCCGACCTTCAGGCTTGTGATGTTGCATGCGTCATGTCACACTGTCTGTGAGGATGTGAGCTCGTTCAGCATGACTTGCTTTTACTTACAACAAATCGTGATCCGGATCGTCCAGTGAGCTTTCTGCCATGTTCCATGTTGCCCGTGGAGTCAAAGCAGCTGCTCAGGACACATTCTGAAAAGGGATTCACCTCTTTTAATGTGTCTGGAAAAGAAGGTCTTGTTAGGAGACAGTACTATAAGATCACTTGTGTTTGTCTTCAGTGTGTGTTGCATGTTATAACCACTTAATACTGATCAAACGCATCACAGCACTGTATGGATTTTGATGAACTGCATGATTGTCCTTTGAGCGGATTCTCTCTATGATCATGTTTAAGAATACAAACATGGAATGGAAATCTGTCTACCTCATCACAGCCAATTTATAGGGCCCTTTTTAATCATATTATTTTTTATAAAGTAACCAGAAAAACATGGCTATTAATTTATTTTTCAGGTTCCATCATAAATGTTGCCATAAGTCACGTGTAATGCCTAAAGCTGCATGGTGCAGATCTAATATTGTGTTGAATGTCTATTTCTGACCCTTTGGCCCCATGCTAACGTTCAGTGAGTGTATGTGTGCGCTCAGGTCCAGGGTCAGCCGCTGATGGTTCAGGTGAGTGGTGGGCAGCTGATTACATCCTCAGGTCAGCCCATCATGGTACAGGCCATGTCTGGAGCTCAGGGCCAGACAATCATGCAGGTGCCCATGTCTGGAGCACAAGGCCTTCAGCAGGTAAGTGCAACTCTGCTCGTCAACACTCCTCAATGTGGGGAAAGCTACTTAAATATATCTATAGATCGTCCTATTATTCTTAACAGTATAGTCATCTAAATATCCCTCTGCTACTTTTATTATCAGTGCACATATTTTATGAAGCAATGGACGATGGTTTTAATTTTGTTATTTTTACACTTACATAGTTGATATGATTTTCAGGGTCTGCATTTACAAACATATATTTGTTCTTGAATTCTTGACTTATTGAAATTCATATCTGATATGTTATTTCTGATTTGTTTGTGTATGTGTAGATCCAGTTGGTTCAGCCGGGACAGATTCAGTTGCAGGGTGGTCAAACTTTGCAGCTGCAGGGTCAGCAGGGTCAGACTCAGCAGATCATCATACAGCAGCCCCAGACTGCCATTACCGCAGGCCAGAATCAGGTCTCAAACACACTCAATTCTCTTCTCTGTTTTAGTTGGACTATACTTGGACCTGGAAATATTATGGAAATTTCAGGCCTTGGAAAATTTTGCAAATTAATACAATTTTGGTTAAAATTATGTGGGAACCTTGTACCTATTTTTTTCCCCCTGATTCATATTATATCATACATTAATTAAGAGAATGCTGCCCTATTAACTATAATGACCAGAGTTTGTGCAGCCTATTAGGCAGATTTTATTACTTCACACAGATTTTGTTGTATAGAGTATAAATTAATTTGTGTTGTGTTTCACAGGGGCAGCAGATTACAGTTCATGGACAGCATGTTGCCCAAACAGCTGAAGGACAGACCATTGTATACCAGCCTGTGAACGCTGATGGCACAGTTCTGCAGCAGGGTATTTAAATACACACTATATCTACACCTGGTTTATCTTTCTTCTATTAATGTACATTAAATCTGATATGAACAACATAAAATGGGTGATCATTCAGGGTTTTAACAAGTGTGATTATTAGTGTTAGGCGATATGGTCATTTTTCAAATCGTCATATCGCCAGCCTGTGAGATCACCGATACACGATATTATCGTGTGTGGGTGGGGGCAAGAGATAGACTCTCTGTACTTGTCATAGGCTATTTCATAACTATTTGGTGTTTTAAACCGCACGCGGGGGAGAGTGTGGAAGCACCACTAATCTAAATAATATACTTTCAAACTTACTAATAAACTAACATATTAAATATAAAATTATTTAAAACCGCTAGTTCATATATATATATATATATATATATATACACATACAGTATCTCACAGAAGTGAGTACACTCACATTTTTGTAAATATTTTATTATATCTTTTCATGTGACTACACTGAAGAAATGACACTTTGCTACAATGTAAAGTAGTGAGTGAACAGCTTGTATAACAGTGTAAATTTGCTGTCCCCTCAAAATAACTCAACACACAGCCATTAATGTCTAAACCGCTGGCCACAAAAGTGAGTAAACCCCTAAGTGAAAATGTCCAAATTGGGCCCAATTAGCCATTTTCTCTCCCCGGTGTCATGTGACTCATTAGTGTTACAAGGTCTCAGGTGTGAATGGGGAGCAGGTGTGTTAAATTTGGTGTTATCGCTCTCACTCTCTCATACTGGTCAAAAAAATTAACTTAAATGATTTTAGCAAATGGCTGCAATATAACAAAGAGTGAAAAATTTAAGGGGGTCTGAATACTTTCCGTACCCACTGTACAAGCTGTACACTCACTACTTTACATTGTAGCAAAGTGTCATTTCTTCAGTGTTGTCACATGAAAAGATATAATAAAATATTTACAAAAATGTGAGGGGTGTACTTACTTCTGTGAGATATTGTGTATATAAACATGTTGTTACATCAGTCATGCAGCGCTCTGGACCGTGCGCCCCATGACGAGCCCGACGCACCGCCACAGAAACAAGAATGAGATGCTTTCTAGCATAACTGTGGCATTAAACTCAGTTAGTGACGGCTCGGTAAAATATTGCACATATATAGGCCGTTCAGATTACTTGTTAAAGTGCAATGAAATACCTTATATCAGCAGACGATATACGTCTGTGTTTGTGGTTGGAGACTCCTTCACCGGCTATAGGCTCTAATCCTCATTTGCGCGAGTGTGTGAAGCTGATGTGAAATAGCAGGGCAATTTGATAATAATAGCCGAATTATAAGTCACCTAATAATAATAATAATAGTTTAATACATTAATAGGAGAATGAGCGTAATATCGTCTTGACTATCAACAAAGACATCTGCTATCGTCGATATCTCTGACTATCTTCGATACACGATACTATCGTCTATCGACACAACCCTAGTGATTATACCATTATACACACTTGTTCTGAAGGTTATGCAGGTTAGAACTATTTGTTCTCTCCCATCCATAGGCATGATCACCATCCCAGCAGGCACCCTGGCAGGCACTCAGATTGTCCAGGCTAACACCTCCACAACCAACAGCGGGCAGGGCACAGTTACCGTTACTCTGCCAGTATCTGGAAACATGGTGAACGCTGGGGGAATGGTCATGGTAAGACCTCCCGATGAGGTATCTAACAAACTTAAACCATCCCTTTAATTCATTCATCATCACAGGTGTGGGGGGTATGCATGCTGTGTTAAGTCTCAATCACCTTGCTTTTGGACTAGCCCTTTTCACATGCAGACATACGAGTGATTTTACCTTAAAGGGATAGTTCACCCAAATGTTTTTCCAAATGTTTATACATTTCGTTGTCACATTTCTAATTTTAGTTTTCATTCAGTTTTCATCTGATATCTACCGTATTGTCCCGAATATAAGACGATATTTTTTATTTGGAAATACATCGGTCGTCTTATATTCAGGGTCTAGACTTTGACATGGCAATAATACACCCACAACACTAGGTGGCGCCAAATACGCATAAAACGAGTGTGCCATGAAATACGTAATGTAATGCGTGTTGTAAAGATCGCGAGTAAAAACAAAAGAAGCAGAAAACCTTACAGCTGCATGAGTCGTGACTGTCACGTTAGCCTGATGGCACCAAACTCCAGTTACAATTACAAAGTTACAAAAAAACAATCTGGATCTTGGATCTGGGCTGGCAAGTTTCAAAATGACAAAAAAGTACCATAAAAGTATCAAAAAAGTGGTGAAATTTAAGTAATTCACTGAGACGCAAAAATGACACCTTTAGATTAAATGATTTCAATTGGATGTGAGCAGTCATAGATGATTTTGTTTCAGATGAACTGATGATGATGTGGCACGTTTGAATATGCAGAAGTGGGAATTAGATATGAGAACTACACAGGAAAAGAAATTTATTGGTGATTAGTGACTTAAATTTGGTCTCTTTATCTCAAAAAGCTATTGATTGACTTAAGAAGATTTGAATTGAAATATAATGCCATATTGTCAAATCTAAATTCAAACTGACCACTTTTATGAAATGTGAATGGTACTTTCTTTGTCCTTTGTCACCCTGGATCCCCGGTTTCACTTTCATTACATTCAAAAATGACTAGGATAAATTTTTTTTTTGTGTCCCATGAAATAAAATCAAACAGGTTTACTCTGTTAATGACAGAGTATATAAGTATTTTTAGACAAACTATTCCTTTAATACATGCATAATAGCATTCAGTGTCTTAAAATTTTAAAAAATCCTAGTTTCAGGAATCTTCCTAGGATTTGATGATTTACTCAGAAGGAAGTGGAAAGTGGCGACCTCCATCCACTGTGTGTTAATCTTTAGCACTGATTCAAGTGTAAGGGTGATATCTGCCCGTCGTCTCTTCACAAATGATCCACTCAGCTGTTCTGTGTTCTGTTCTCAGCTGTTAACTGTCACTTGACTGATCACTGGATTGCTAAAAATTTGATTTGATTGATTGATTAAATGTTTTGGACATTGCAGACCAAATTAATTCTTCGTGCCCCTTTCTTGCCCGTTCTGCCAGATGGTGCCGGGTGGTGGTGCTGTGCCAGCCATCCAACGAATCCCTCTGCCAGGGACCGAGATGCTCGAAGAGGAGCCGCTGTATGTTAATGCCAAGCAATATCACCGTATCTTAAAGAGACGCCAAGCTCGTGCCAAGTTAGAGGCAGAGGGCAAGATCCCTAAAGAAAGAAGGGTGAGTCGTCCCCTTCTGAATGCCAAAATAGGCATTTTGACATGAATTATGCCTCATATCCAGGCTGATTCCTTACTCTCTCCTACAGAAATATCTTCACGAGTCACGGCACAAACACGCCATGCAGCGGAAGCGTGGCGACGGGGGACGGTTCTTCTCACCTAAAGAGAAAGAAGAAATGGCTTTGGCCATGCAGGTGGGAGCGCAGGGCCATGTCAAGCAGGAAGACCTACGTAATGCCACTGAACTCGCGAGCTCACATTGGCTGCCTGAGCACACTTCGCCCCTCGCATAGACGCTCATCTTTGCTCTCCTTAGCAGATTCATTCTCGCTCTTTTCGTTGTGTGACATGCTGTCATTGGCTGCTCTTGCACGCATCACCTCCTGCTTTTTCCTGTGCTTGTTGGCTGCTTGAGTCTGTCCCATCATGTCTCATTGCTAGTTAAGCATTCGTGTGTACAGACTGCATGATCTGCTAAATCTGCTGTGTGTTATTTTATGACCTGTCTATCTGAACTTAGATTTCCTGTTCTGCCATATTTAACAAGAAAAAGATAATCTCTTCACTGTTATGACGTAATCAGGATGAAAACACTGATATTCCCTGAATATTCTACTGATGCAGCTCTTCAGGACTGAGAATTGCTAATGTGTTGTGACTGACTTTATCACGTGATTGTCTGTTTGGTCCAAGCACTATTATTAACAGCATGAAGGTTTAAGAAAGCATGAATGCTTTGTCATTGGCAAACTCTGTCAGTTTCAATTATGAAGTCACTACGTAAAAATATGAAAATGATTTTTTTGAGGGACCAGTTTAAAAGAAATGTGATTTGTTTGAATATATATATTTTTATGTTGTTTTCTACATTTCTTTTGAGGAAGCATTACTGTTGTTGTTTTTTGTTTGGATTGGATCTGGTTCTGTCCTTGTGCTTGGATTTCATACCTATGCAGTGTCGTCACTGTATTCATTTTTGTCACATGTTGTGATTTTTATTCTGAATAAACATTCTGACTGACTTCCAAAATGTTAAACAAGTTTGCAACCAAATTAGACTACTGTTCAAAAGTTTAGAATCAGTAAGTTTTTTCTATTTATTTTTTATTTTTTATTTTTTTTCTGAAAAAAAAATCAATACTTTTATTCAGCAAGGATGCATTATATTGATCAAAAGTAACAGAAATGTTACAAATTTTATTTCACATAAATGCTGTTCTTTTAAAAAAATCTATCAGTCTCTCAAATATATTAAGCAGAACAACTGTTTCAACATTGATAATAATAAATGTTTCTTGATCACCAAATCAGTACATTAGAATGATTTCTGAAGGATCATGCGGCACTGAAGACTGCACTAATGGCTGCTGAAAATCAGCTTTGCCATCACAGGAATAAATAAAATAAAAAATGTAAAACAGTAATATTTCATTGTATTTCATGCATCATTGTATTTTTTATCAAATAAATGCAGCCTTGGTGAGCATAAGAGACTTTGAAAAACATTAAAATCTTAGCAAACTTTTGAACGGTAGTGGCTTGTGATGCATATTCCTGTTTATCAAGTCTTGTCAAGTAATTTGTACTCTTAAATGTTTTGGGATTTAAAAATATTTCCAGATACTTCCCTGACTAGAAAAGAACCGATATCTGCTATGAAGTCTGTAACGTTAAACAGTTCTATAGAACAGAAGTCTAAATAGCTGCCATTTCCCTGAAATCCATGATGTGACAGCTTGGTAAACATAAACCTTTCACTGTTTTTTCTTGGTTATTCAGTGCTTTTCTTGATGCTATAAATCATGGTGTCCCAACCCTAGTGAAAACGCTTGTGAGTGAAATGTGTTCTAGAGGTGCTGAGTGAAGCGTATCTGGATTAGGCGTGAGGGTAATGATTGACCCTCTTCCTCTCCCGTTCCCCTGCAGGAGCAACAGGACCAGAACCAGACTGGAGATGAGGCCGTGGTCCAGATGATCCGGGTGTCATAGCACTAGAACTTCTAATGTGTTTTTTTTAAATAACTGTGAAGGACCAAATTTACACCAGTGTGAATCACCGTCTCCAACGCAACACTAACAGACAGTCCTAATTCATCGTGACCGGTGTTCCTTGAACTATAAAAACATCCTGTAATTTTCAGAACTCAAAACTTTCTAGTTAGTCTAAAAACAGCTTATATTGAAGCCAGTCTGCCAAAACGACAGGTTGTGGAATGTGCCGCTCTATGATGTGATAGTGTGACTAACCTGTGTTCCTGCTGTCTCATGTCTTCCACTGAAAGGAGGGGCCCATCTGTTTTCTCTCCGTGGACTTGTATTTGCTCCAGAGGACACACATAGAGCCATTACTGTTAATGTACAGCGTAATGAATTCAGCTTGCAGTTTAAAAAGCAAATAAATAGCAAAGCGTAGATTGAACCACAGAGAGACTGCGAATACGCAGTTAGTAATGACTCATTTACCGTAATGTTTTTCAAAGGTGGCAGTAGAACAAACAAGAATATAATTAATTGCATCATGAAGACCAAGGCAGTCTGTTTGATTTTCTACTTTTTTAGCATTATGGACAGTTCATGTCAGGCCTATGAATTTATAAGTGGGAAGTTACATGGAAATGATGTAGGTTTATCTCTTACAAGCTAATTGTGGTGTTGTTCAGTGTATTGTACATGTTTGGCATGGGGAAAAGGGCAACATTTTTTGGAAATCGGTCCTCATCACCAAGGAAACACCGGTCATATAGGGTGTTCTTGTTTCCCAAGCTTTTATACAGGTTTCGCCCATAACATGAAGTCATTTTACATTAGTGTTTTGATACAACAATCATTTGTAATTTGACTGAGGTTTGTGTATCCAGTTACTGTCTTCCTGGCTCATCTAGTTCCTACTTGGAAATGCAGTTTGAGTTATGTTGGACATTGAAGTCATCTAACCTGTATTTTGATAAAAATTGTGTGCGAAACGCATTGTGAAAGATCATGCTTTGTGAACTTGTCTTTATTATTATAATCTTTGTGAGCACAAGAAGGCTGTAAATGATCCAAATTCAAACAGTTCAGTGTTTTAATCTACTTCGCTGTGATTGAAATCAGATATTTCAAAGCAGTGGCTCTCAACCATGGGGCTGGGGCCCAGTTATTCTTACTATTATAACAAATTTATAATAATTTAGTAATCTTTATGCTGTTTCATATTTGTATGACTTTCTTTAATGGATTGCAAAAAGAGTTAACAGCACTCACCGTTTGCTTTCATTGTATGGAAAAGATGCAACCTTTTGTGTCTCAACCTTTTGAGTAAATTATATCAGATTTTTTTTTAAACTTTTGTGTCAACTGTCAATTTAAATCCTATATTATACAGGTCATTCAATTCGTATTTGTTTCCCGTTAACATTCTGAATAAGTTTTGAGAAGAATAGGGCCTACATTTCTCAAACTATATTCAACTCGGATTAATAATGTTACATACAATTTTTGAAGTATTTTCACGAGGTTGACCTCTCAAAAATATTAGTTAATATCGTAAATATTAGTTATTTTTGACTAGAACTGTTTAAAATAAGGTCTTAAAACTGACAGATTACGTTACATGCACCGTTAAAACAGTTTTCGTGCAATTTCCTCTGCGTGCAGGTGCTCGCCTTTAAGCCCCGCCCACCGCTGATGCTGGCCGTCAACCGGACAGTCAAATATAATAATCTGAGGTCCACTGCGGCTTGGAGTGATACTACATTCTTATTTACTAGCATCCGTATTCGACAGTTTGTTCCTCTCTTGCAGACGTTTTGCGCAATCACCCCTTCCGCTTTTGAGATAGTCGGAGCTTTTGAAGCGCTCCAGCAACACAAGGACGAATCGAAAGGTTACAGTAACAGAGCTGAAGGACTATCGCGTAAAACCAACCGGCAACGGCTCCGAAAGCGCATAGATATAGATTGCCATGACAGACTGTGGCGAGGATGCGAAGCTGGAGCTGAAACAGGCCAGCAAAGAGTTTAAAGAGAGCGAAAACGTTGCCGAGAAATACTCCGCGATGACAGGCACGAAGAACAGCGACGCGAACATGAACGTCGGCGAGCTGTCCGCCGCATTCACTGCGGTCCCGACCCACAAATCCATGAAAAAGGTAAGAGGGACGCGTCTTTTCTCCGGCTAGCTGTTTATGGGCTAAACACACATTATGTGTGTCCTGAAAACATCGCACTTGAGTTTGGGACATGTTGCTCAGTTTACTAGGATCATCAGGAAAGATTATCCCCGGCAAGAGTTGAACTAGAGGAGTGCTGGAGCCTATTAGAATCACGTGACGCATATTCTTTAGTTCTTTCTCGCCGCATCCAGTAATTTTCCCTGAGCTGGTCCGACTGTCACATCTGTCGGAGTCACCGACCTCTGTTCACTGCAGTTTACAAATTGTCGAATGCTGTAATCTATGATATAAGCTAAAGGAAATGGTGTATCTTTTTCATAAATGCCTTAAACAGATTTTCTAGAAAGAAAATAAATCAACCCAGAATTGCATGTAGGACAACAGTGTCATGGCACTTCACTGCATAGATCAAAGAGTGAAGATACAGCATAGATAGATGTAGCTTAGATAGATAGACAGATAGATAGATAGATTGACTGATTAATAGATAGATAATTTACACTGGAAAGGAAAGATGATCCAGTCCAGATTGTGGAAATGTATTCAGTGTGGCCCTCTGAAGTGTGTGTGTGTGTGTGTGTGTGAGTGGGTGGGAAAAGAGGCACACTACTCTTTTTTTTTTTAGTTTTTATTACGTGGTCACTATTGCTTTGTTTGTTATTACAGATCATTTGATATGTTCTGAGTATTTATGCGTTTTTAACCTAAATCACAGACAGATTATAAGTGGACCTCAGAAAACAGTACAAAATAATAAAAAAGGCAGTTCATGACCCCTTAAAAGTGTAGCTACTTGCTATAACTGGTATAACAACCCTAACATAATGTGTTCATCTTTTAGCGCACAAATGACCTCATAAGAGCTTTAGTCTCTTTTGAGAAATGCTCAATGGTTTGAGTATAGCATGCATTCATCTATTTCCCCCTCTGATCTTGTGTATTCCCTCTTGTATGTACTGGCAGTGCTTTCCCTTAGTAATCACAGTTGTTTGTGTAATTGTATCCTTTTCTCATCACAGTTTGAGGGTGTGAGAAAGTTTCTCTCTCTGTACCTCCGCTAGCTTTGTCCCTCTGTGAGCAGGAGGCTCTGATAACATTGTGAAAGAAAGTTGCATTGAGCTGAGAAATATGACACACATCTACTGAGTCGCTCAGGAAAATTTTCTCCTGTTTCTCGGACCGAGACTTGGCATGGGGCCGCGATCCGGCGCTACCTGCTGAGAGCCTTGCTGTGACCTTGGGTTCTTCTCGTTGTAAAAGTTGTGTGTTTTCTCTCCAAACATTCAGCCTGTCATTTAGTTTTAGTTAGAGTTATAGTTTCTTCATCTCTTTGAATAGATCTGTTCCTTGCATGTGTACTTTGACTCACAAAGTTTCTCTATGGTACATCCATCATGATAAAAATGACTCCTTTTGTTTCCTTACTGATTTCTTGCTTTGTTATATGTAATGCACATAGTTTTGGAGATTAGATCAAATTTCCGGAAATTATCAGGGAAGCTATTGGTTGCACGTCCAGTTCTGCTGAATAGATGTATTGAGGGTTTAGACCGATGTTCCTGCTTCAGTGCTTGAGCTGCCATTAGGGTGTCTTTACACCGAGCAGTCATCTGAGAGAGCTTAGATCGTGTTTCATTTATTCACGTTAGACTACCGCCACTTCAGAGCCCAATTATTTCATTCTCTCAAGTAGTTTGATTAATTTTGACTTGGTTGAGCAGATTGCTGAAATGTCTTTAAACAGAGTTTCAGAAGTTTCACATTCTCAGCCAAATCATGTTAGGCCAATTCAGTTTCATCAAGTAGACTTTTTGCAAAAAAATGGGTTGAAAACTAAACGGCTCAATCAGCTGTTTAGTTAATCTGCCTTGTTAATGGTAAAACTCTGTCACAGTCTGGTCATCATTATACTATGACACTGTGAGTCATGTATAAAGTCAGGACTTTATGGTGTACATGACCTTTTGTAGGGTTGTTAATTTAGTGTGATTTATTTATTTTTTTAAAAACGCAAGAAAATAGATTGATTAATGGTAATTTATCATGCCCCCCTTTGTATGTAAAATTCTGCAAATAGTCATTTTTATGCCATCAGAGTAATGGTCAAAAAATGTAGTCTGCTTGTGTATACAGACAATTAAAACTTTACATAAAGTTTTAGAAAGAAAAAATTCTATTTCATTGCTCTTCTTTTGAACATTCATTTCACCAAAGAATCACAAAAACGTATCACAGTTTCCACAATAATATTAAATACTCATTCATTTTCAAAATCAATAATAATAAGAATAAAATGTGTTAATAATATCTGATTGATAAGAAATGTTTCTTGAGCAGCATATTAGAAAGATTTCTAAAGGATCACATGACACTGAAGACTGGAGTAATGACTGCTGAAAATTCAGCTTTTCCAAAAAATATTAAAAATTGTAATAATATTTCACAGTATTACTGTTTTTACTGTATTTGCGATCAAATAAAAGCAGCTTTGGTGAGCAAAAGAGACTTTCAAAAACATGAAAAAAATCTTACCGACCCTCAGCTTTTGAATGATAGTGTGAGATAGAAATAATTGTGGCCTGTAGGCCAGTGGTGGAGGGGGGTTATAATGTCTTTTCAATGTTTTAATCTGCCACAATAATTAAATTATCTTCATTTGGAGGCTAATATTGATTTATTCTTTTGATTGTATAATCGTGTCTTAATTGTATATCATGTAAGAAACTCAATAAAAAAAAATTTAATCAATTGACAGCCCTACATTTTACTATTAAATCAAAAACCCAATCATATGTGGAGTGCTGTAGAGTTCTTTGCTTTTGCTGACAATCATGTGGAGTGTGTACACTGCGTGACCTCGGCCTGGGATTAGAGACTGTGGCTGAAAGCCAGGTTACATTAGGACTACAGCAGGTATTGGCAGAGTCACAGTAAACGGCTCAACAGCGTCTGCTTAACACTTGAGCGTCTGCTGGCCTAGTACTGCCTGTCTGTTTCCACCACGATGGATCATTTTGAGCTGTAAAGCGGAAAAGTCAATGAACTGGATGGATTTCTTTTTCTTCTATTTTTAGTCAGATCTCGGAATAGAGTTGACCGACGTGACCTATAGTGGATGGTTTAGGGGTTTACAGAAACATGGTTTAATTCCCTCCAGATCCCTGTTTTATTAGCCGCCCTGAATGAACTCTGCAGGAGAGTCTGTTTCTGACGGCACTGGGAAAACCAGTTGGATTAAAACACTCCGGGGCAACAAATACACCCTTCCTTTAGTATTCCTGAAACATTCAGTCACAAACGGCCCTTACGGTGGCTGCAGGGAATGGCAGATCACAGAAAGAGAGGGAGAGCAAAAGTAGGCTGGCCGGGTTTATGAGTGGTTGATTTATTGGTTCCCTTGTCACCTCCCATACCCTCATGTCCGCTGTAAGAACTCCACACAGAAACCCTCCCCCCTACACCCGCCCGTGTGTAAAACTACATTGGTGAAACACCAGTTGTAACAATACACAGGCACACAGGCCAGAGGCAGCCGGCACAGACAGGGACCATGAACCATGGCTATGACTTTCCCAGGGTAAGTGCCACATTACTCTCTCTTCCATCCTCTACAGCAGCACACAGCAAAAAAGAGCTCAGATTTTTTTGGTGACTGTCTGTGGTTTCGGAAGTATATATGGGTTATATACATAGAGTCTAAACATTGAGAGACAGAAAGACTATATACTATACTTCTAAAATAAAAAGGAATTTAAATATATCAATATATTTAAAAAATGGTTAAAAAAATGGTTAAAGTAAGAGAAAAGTAGTATG